GTAGTGGGAGCGGGGAGGAAACATTTAGGAACTAGAGGAAAGTTGTATTTCTCCTCTGGTAATTGCTTTATGACCGAGAGTGAGTAGACAGTCTCTGCATCGTCCACAGATTCTGGATGCTTCTGCTCTAGCCTTGAGGACTAACTGCCAGCGGTCATCCTCTTCAAGTGCTAAGATGATGGATAGTGGGTGTTCAAGAGACTTCCGCTGAATTGTCATGCGCTGAACCCTGAACCTTCAAAAGGAGGTTAGGTTTAGAGGGGGGGGAATTGAAAGAGGAAATATGATATTAGGTCTTTGATAAAGCATCCCTTCAAACATAAATATTGATATATCACTATCTCTGATGGTGTGGCCACTAAGCATCCGGCTGCTAACCGGAAGTTCTCCAGGTCAAACTCACCAGCTGCTCTGTGGGAGAAAGCCCCAGCAGTCTGCTCTGCAAAGACTGACAGACTGGACAATCCTATGGGACAGAGCTGGTCGGTCCTGTAGGACAATGGTGAGCCGGAAGCGACTGTACAGCAATAGGATGTTTTGGGGGGTTTGTTTTGGTTTGGGGTGTGTGTGTGTGTGTGTGTGTGTGTGAAGCTGATGATAACTATGGTACGTTACTCTGGTTAGAATCAATACACAGTTTGGCCTACTTTGGAGTTTGGGGGAAATGGTTTGGGACCAAACATGGAAGGCTTTGAAAACGAGAGTAGGGAGTTTTTAAGTCACTGGGTGGCTACAGGGAAGATCAGAAGCGTCTTCAGCGGGCCATGAGAGCAATCAGGCTTGTGTTTTAGAAGTTCACCTGAGAGTGTGTGGTGAAAGACGGTGATGGTGGTGAGTGAGGCAGATGGAGAGAAGAAGCACGAGGAGGCCACACCCACAGAAAACAGCAATAAGAGTGCCTGGTGGCAGCAAGCAGCGCCTAACCGAGACCCCGTAGAATGAAGTTGTGGAAAGAGAACCAAAAAGCCATGGCCCGAACACAAGGACAGGCAGGAGTCCAGGAGGACTCGGAATATTTGTGCCAGAAAGAATGGTGGTCCTCTTCTCGGAAACGGGGACACCGTGAAGAGCTGCCCGTCTGAGGAACCAGATGATGCCTTTGTTTGGGGACATGTGGAGGGTCGTTTCAGAGAGTCGG